CATCACCTCCTGGGAAATAGAAGGGGAAGATATGGAGGCAGTGACAGATTTTATTTTCTTGGGCTCCATGATCACTGTGGATAGTGACAGCAGCCACGAAATTAAAAGACGCCTGCTTCTTGGGAGGAAAGCGATGACAAGTCTTGGCAGCATCTTAAAAAGCAGAGACATCACCTTGCCAACAATAGTCCAAATAGTCAAAGCTATGTTTTTTCCTGTAGTGATGCAAGGAAGTGAGAGCTGGACCATAAAGAAAGCTGACCGCTGAAGAATTGATTCCTTTGAATTGTGGTGCTGGAGGAGGCTCTTGAGAGTCCCCTGGACTGCAAGGAGAACAAACCTATCAATTCTAAAGGAAATCAACCCTGAGTGCTCACTGGAAGGACAGATCCTGAAGCTGAGGGTCCAGTACTTTGGCCATCTCATGAGAAGACTCCTTGGAAAAGACCTTGATGTTGGGAAAGTGTGAAGGCACGAGGAGAAGCGGATGACAGAGGATGAGATGGACAGTGTCATCGAAGCAACCAACATGAATTTGACCCAACTCCGGGAGGCAGTGGAAGATAGGAGGCTCTGGCGTGCTCTGGTCCATGGGGTCATGAAGAGTCGGACACGACTAAACGCTGCCGCTTGTTACCATCTTTTAAGCATCTTTTATTTATCTCCTGATCTGGATACTCCCAGCTATTGATATTAATCCCCGACTCTTCGTCAGCAGCATTATAATTTCAAGCACAAATCTGTAATTTCAAGGTTGTATTAACTATATTGACTATTACAAGTCTGATCTTCAACCCCTGTCTCAAACTGCTTGTCCTTAAAGGCATGAACTCTGTTATCGGGTGTTAATGGGGTACTGTGAACAGTTTGTCCTGTTCATTAGTGGCTTTTATTAAATAACAGTACAGCTTTTGGGTTTTTTTTTTTTTTGTAGGACTTGTAAATATTTGTGGAAATATTTTTGAGCAATATTGAGTCTGTAAAGATTGATTATGTGGTAGTTAATTAGAGTGATGTTAGATTCATTTTTTATTTATTTTGAGTTTAATGTGTGTGCAAGGCCTTTGGAGAACATTGTGCTAAGATACTGGCACTACCTATGACTTTTCATCCAGTTTAGCTCTGCTTTCTTTTAGCCTTTATAACTGAATGACTGTTTCTGGATCAGTCCACCATTTGTCCAACTTTTGCTAAAATATTAAAGTGTGATTAACTCTGAAAACAGAAGTTAAACACAACTTCTGTTTTCACAGTTAATCACACTTTAATATTATAGCAAAAGTTGGACAAACGGTGGTTAGTCTTATTTATGTTTTAGGATGGAGAATCAGCTTCAACAGCCCTCTTTATGAAGCAGGTTTATTTCAATAAACCATAGTTAAGACTAGCAATAGTTTCACATTAAGACATCATATTAAATATAGATGGCTGAAAATGAAAACCACTGTCTTTCTTCATGTAGTAAAGCTAAAGGAGCAATGAGAGAGTATTAAAACCTGAGACTATTGTGATAAACGATAGATTGTCATGATGTGTGAATGCAATGATGAAACTAAAAATTCATGAAATTGAGCTAGGCTGAAGTACAGTAACAGATGTTCAATAAACCCTGAAGATGGAGGGAAGAATACTGAGTAATGCTTTGAACTAATACTGGTAAAAGTGCTAGCTTATACAACCTTTCGCACATTAAATTAAATGTAGGCCACAAGTTTTATGGGATTGCCTGCCAAGTGATTCATTCTTGTCTTGCCTTCATTCTTATCTTACTGCTATTTATTATGTCACACCTCTATTAAAATGTTTTTCTTATAACAATTGTATACATAGTCTTTAATATTCTCTCAATTATTTATTTTGTAGACCTGGATACAGTATACAAATTAAGATGTCCCCAGAAATCACATTGAACAGAATCTCTCCTTCACTTTCTCCTTTAATTTCAAGTGTGGTCAGAAATGGAAAAGTAGGACTGGATGCAACTAACTGTTTAAGGATTACAGATCTGAAGTCTGGGTAAGCTTTCTCAGTGAACTGAATGCCCATGTACTGATTTAATTTTCAATAAGCAGATCCAGTGTTTCTCATTTATCTGGAATTCAGTGATTAAAGAAGTTCTGATCAATCTTTGACACTGCTGTAGAGGCTGTGGTTTAATGTGTTGTGCAGATCAGATTTTTTTCTCCCATCAGTAGTTCTTACAAAATGATTTCAGTTCTACTTCATGTCTTGGTTTCTTACCTTTTCATGGCTGTTATTGAAATGCATTTTCCTTTTTTGAGTGAAGAAAAATTGAAATATTTCTTTGTTCATGTCAAAAGCACCACAGTACAATTAATAAATATGTCAGATAAATTGTTCACAATATCAGGCAACAACAAGAGTTTTTGGGACAGCTAACGTCAAATCTTGCATGATAGACTACGCTGACATAGGTATTAATTTGTCTGTTTTTAGCCACACTCAAAAATATTGTATCAGTGTGAAAACCCACTTTCTTAGATTCACCTTGGTTTTGCTAATCCTAGTCTGTAGCCTCTTAATTGACCAGCAAATAAACCAGTTCTCTATGTGACTGGAAGCTAGAGTTTCCTGGGGTTCTATCCATTTTCAGAGATGGTTAGTTCTTTCTTTGCACATGTTAGTTTTGATATTCTCTGCTCTTCCTTCCTTCCTGGGATGTAGTTGAAAAAGAAAGTGCATTTGAGGTAGATGTTTTTAGTTATTCACTATTAACTGCTACCTGTCACTTGTAGATAATTAATTTTTAAAATTTATTTACAAGATTTTTTTAGTCTCTGAGCGGCGTACAATAATATTAAAACTTTAAAAACATTAAAACCATTAAAATAGGCAATATTATAATAATACCCTATATTAAAACAGTCATTAAAACATTAATATTAATAAATCCTGCTGCTCATATGATACTATTTAAAGAATAGTATTTAAGTAAAATGCTGGCTAAACAGAAAGGTCTTTGTCTGGCTCTGAAAAGCCAAAACTGTTGGAGCCAGGCAGATCTCTATAGGGAGGGCATTCCAAATTTGGGGGGGGGGCAACAGCTGAGCAGGCCCTGTTTTGGCATGCCATCCCCCTCATCTCTTTCGGGGATGGCATCTTCAGAAGGACTTCCTGGCCTGAACTTATAGTATGGGCAGGCTTGTATGGAAGAAGGCGGTCCAGTAGGTAATTTTATTAATAGGGTTTGGCTTCAGTCATTCAGTAATGAATTCTGTAGCTTTCATTGAGTGCTACATCTACATACAGTGGTGCCTCACTTAGCGATTGCCTCGTTTAACGATGTACAGTATTCGCTTAGCGATGAGGTTTTTGGAGCGATCTTGCGCTCCGTTTAGCGATGTTTCCAATGGGGAAATTTCGCATAGCGATGTTCGGAACCTTGCTTCGCTCAGCAATGACAGTTTAGGTCCCCTGTTTCGCTTAGCGATGTCTGTTTTTGCTATTTTAAGTGTGTCTTAAAATGTTCAAAAACTTTAAAATGCTTGGAATTGTTAGTGCACCTTGTAAAACCTTTGCAAACTTAATTTGGCTTTGTTCTGAGACTTCATTAATTTTTGGTGAATTTTTCCCCCCATTGGAATGCATTGAACTGTAGGTTTGACAGCGAAAACGGACCTGTGAAAACCATTGAAATGCATTGAAACCTATTCAATGCATTCCAATGGGGGAACCGCGTTTCGCTTAGCGATGTTTCCTATGGCGATTTTCGCTTAAAGATAGTAATCTGTTCCCATTGGAACGGATTATCCGGTTTTCAATGCATTCCTATGGGAAATGGTGTTTCGCTTAGCGATGTTTTCCCATAGCGATGTTTTTTTTTGGAACCAATTAACATTGTTAAGCGAGGCACCATTGTAGTTTGTATGGGCTGAACTATACTACACTGGGCTGACTTTTTTACCTGCCGAATAGCATAGGGCCAAAGCTTTAGTACTTCTTGGTTGTGAGCCCCAACTGGTTTTCGTCTGATTGAGCAACAAGTATGAAATGATCAGCTTAAATATAACTTCTAGTGCCATGAGGAATTAGTTGATTTTTGGTGTGAAAGAAAGAAAAAGAAAGAAAGAAAGAAAGAAAGAAAGAAATCAGCACACTGGGGTAGACTATACTTTTGAATCTTCAATTGGCTGTGTTGTCTTTGAAAGTTAACCAAAACAATCTATGATTTTGCAAAAGGGTTTCCATTACTTCAATTACCTTCTAGTTCTTAGTCAGATTATAGAATTTTTGCAGTGTATTATCATCATCATCATCATCTCCTCAGAACTCTAGAAATTTAATGATGAACAGTATCATAGATAGTCAATATATCAACAAAGAAGAATGAAAGTGAAGTAACATGTTTTGTCTGTTCTACCTCAGGTTCATGTGCCTTGGGTCATTCTCTCAAATCACCTATTGGCACATAATTATATTCTCAGTTTGCCATCTGTTTGTAGTCTATCATCTGTTGTTCAATTATTGCTATAGCTTGCTTTTCAGGATATTTGCATAGGTATAAAAGCATGTAAGGCTTATTAGTGGAGAATTGTGGAAATGGTTTCTAGTGATAAAGTTCCTGTTCCCATACATATATAAAGGCCATCAAATACAATCTTACTGTACTGCTATTTTGTGTTAATTGTGTGAGAATTTAGAATACAGAATTTGGCAGCAACATTCCTTATGAGTGTTAGAGGAAATTGTATATAGGCTGAAATCTTGTTGCTTAAGGTGGTAACTAGTGTGGATCTATTGAGTCAGTGAAACTTGAGTTGACTTCCCAAATCCCTGCTGATGCATTAGACCTATTCTGGCTGCAGCATACTACACTACACAAGATTTCAGTCAATATTTTGAGCAGCAAAGGTTTCAGATTATTTTGGATTACTTCTGTCATGATACGTGCACCACAGAATTATTAACAATTGTCCACCAACCCACCTGCCTGTATGCTTTCCCCAAGGAAATGCTTGAAGCAGGGTGTATGCACTGGTGAATGCTTTTGGTGTTTCTGGGCCCTGTAACTTGAGGAAGTGGTGTCTCTTCCTCTTCAGCCTTTTTAGCCTTTCATATGAGAATAATAGGTGGGGGCAAATTATTGGGTGACAATTTATGAAAGTGGGTTGGGCATCTTTTCATAGCAAAGTCAAGCATTTTGCTCATACATTCTTTCTCAAGGGGAAGAGTAGGTGGGAAGGAAACAAATTCTATTGAAAGCATATTGGGTGCTTTCAAGCAGTGGCATCCAAAGATTCATCTTTTCTATCTTTCCTGCTCCAAAGTAGGAAAGGCTGGTGATGGGGTGATCTGGTTGTGATGTGTGTGACTAAAAGGCTTGGGCACCTTCAGAGAACTACGGCTAAACATTTCCAGCTTTTGAGGTGGACACTAGTGAAGTTTGCCTTCCCACGTCTGCAACTCAGAGTTAGGCAGATGTCTGTCTGCTTCTCAGAATTACCACTGGAAAGTGCTGCACTTTCTGCATCTACTGTGTTGGATGCCTTTGTTGATGCCTGACTCCACATCATGGCAGAATTGGATTGTGGTCTTCTTTGATAGTTTTCATGTGTTTGGAGAGACATGGAAGTTTGTATAGGCAGACCTGTTACACGTATTCTAATCTAAAATATTCATCAGTTGTGTTCCTAAGAAACAATCAGGTTTACCACAACATTCCTAAGTCTTCCAGTGATCAATACTCAGCATATCTAGGAACCATTTCTACTATGTAGCCTGAATCTGTTTTGTTATACTTAGAATCCAGTGTTTCTATTATTTTCTTTCCCACATTTAAGATTATAGTCTTATACACACTTACTTCAGAGTAAACTTAATTGAAAACAATAAGAAGTGCTTCTAAGCAGATTTTACAGGCTTGCTGTGTTAGTAAACAGAGAAACAGTGATGCCTTGACTTATGAACTTAATCCGTAATGGGATGGTGTTCGTAAGTCAAAATGTTCGTAAGTCAAAGCACCGTTTCCCATTGAAATGCATGGGAATGGGATTAATCAGTTCCAGCATTTAAAAATATACCAAAATAAAAATAAACAGAGCAAGTCCCACACTGGGACTACAAAATAAATAAGTAAAAATCCAAAAACAAAACAACACAGCACAGAAACATACCTCCCAGTCCAAACCCACCCTCCAAAAACCCACCCAGAACGTTTTTTTTTTTAAAGGAAAAGGACCTTACCAGTCTGAAACCTCTCAGGCTTCCACCACTGCAGCGACCTCTGCAGCTGCCCGGCTTGGGCTCCGGCCGCAGCTGCCCGGCCAGGATGGGTCCTAGCTAGGCTCTGTTTCCCAGAGCCCGGCCGGGAAGTGAGCAGTGCGGACATCCCCCCACGCTGGAAGGCAGGAGCCTGGGAAATTCAAATGGCCTCCTGGCCAGGCTCCTGCCTCCTGATGCAGGGTCCGTCCACGCTGCTTGCTTCCCAGCCAGGCTCTGCTTCCCGGAGCCCAGCCAGGAGGTGAGCAGTGCCGACAGACCCAGCGCCAGGAGACAGGAGCCCGGGAAATTCCAAAATAATGGAAAATCATTATTTTTAGATTTT